CAAGATGACAAGAGCTGCAAGCACCTGCCCAGGCTAGTTGAACCAACGGCAGAGAAGCCAGGGCCGCTTGATCGTCAGTTTCAGGTTGGGAAGGGCAGGGGGCACACCACCGTGCTTATGAACCCTTACCACAAAACATGCTGTTGTTTTTGGCAGGTGCATCCATCACCTATCAAAACTACTCAGAGAATTTCACAGAACCACAAGTCAACCAAAAGACGATAACAGGACAGAAGGACCAAGGAGGAACCTGTTTAAACCTCTACATTGTTTATCTCCTGTCAACCTCGCTTGAAAGGTGAGTTAAAAACAACATTTAAGTCACATGAGCATCCAAGAGGTGATTTTGGTCAGAGCTAATGGACATCCTTTTAAGTTGCTCACACGTTGTTCACCATGACCACCAAAACGAACACTACTATAAGGCTTGTATCCAGGAATGAGGCTGCCCACCTTCGGGGCTCCATTTGCATGCAGCCTTCTCAGAACTTTGTCCAGCTTCTCTGCATGGCTTGGACAAAGCACCATGACCAAGTAGTCACTAGGTCACGAGGTTTGGGCCAAAACAAAACCTATGTGGTGCACCAGTGGGTAGCTGCTCTGTCCAGTCCAAACGCTCGATCAGCCAAAACAAATCTGAATGCCCAAAAAACAAACATGGCAGGACAGCGATGCTGTCGTTGGAGGCGTAACCTCCATCCATTGCCATGAGACCTTAGCATGGCATGGCACCACAACAATAGGCACCAACCCAGGGTGGCAGGGTGACATATGGTGTGCAATATCAGCTTTGACTTTGAAAAATCACATCAGGGAGGGTGACTTAGGATGATATTGGATGAGGCAGCCCACAAGTTCTTTCTTTCATCTTGAAGCAAGCTTTGAGGCACGTGTTAATGGCCATGGCTTTGAGACTGTGCACCCCAACAGTGAAACAAAAGCTTTTTTTGACAAGTGCACAAGGTTTTGAAGACCTTAGCTTTAAGTCCGCACAGCCAAGCCCTAAGGCCACACATGCGCTGTTGCCTCGAGCTCTACAATCCATGATGCCAGGTCCCCAGGCATTCGGAATCCTTCGTCAGGCCATTACCCACACCCATACAGAAAACAAAGATCAAAATCGTGTGTTTATACATGTTTATACAATTGTTTCATCAGTTGGGGGTTCCAAATCATGTTCAAGTAGCCATTGCATGGGAGATGTAGGCAGCGGGTGGCCCAAATCAAATAGCCTACTACATGGATCCTCAAGGGACCCTATTCACTAATCATGGATCTGCTACACAAACTTCTCCAAGTACTCCTGGGCACAGTACTCGGCCTCAACAATGTAGCGGTCACGGTCGAAGTCCTTCCCCTTCCAGCTTTGCACGCACATGTTCCAGAACTGTACCTGGACAGGCTTCCCAACCACCAAGCTGTGGTTGACCAAAGGAACCATAGTCACATGTAATTACCACACAACCCTAGACCCCTGTAAATACTGGTGGGTAGGGGCTCAAGCGAATGCCAGCAAAAGAAACCTGGCATCATATCAAAAGGAGAAAGGCTGGGATGGCACAAGCAAAAGCAAAACCAAGGCCTATGGGAGGAAGCTTGGAATATGTGGCTTTTACAGCTTGATTGACAGCTAGGAATCAAAGAAACCCAGCCTCATGGGAGGAAGCTGAGGGTGTATGAGTTCGAATGAAGTCATTGAAGGCTTGCCGGATGGAGTCCCACCTTGCAATTGCATCTTCCTTGGACTTGGGGCGTACACGACGGGCAAAGCTCCTCAAAGGCTCTGCTGGCTCTTCTGCCTCTGCCTCTGGCTCTGCCTGACCATTGCCAGACAACTTTGCTCCACCATCGCCCTGCTTGATCTCCTCTTCACCCTTTCGCTGTGGCTGCTGAGGCTCAGCCTTTTTGCGCACTTGCTTTGGAAGCTTGGTGTTTGGCGAAGACTTTTCCTCCACCTTCTTGGTGGGGCGACGACGCTTCCTTTCTTCCACCTGCTCACCTTCACCAGGAGCCACTGCTGCAGAAGGTGCCGCTTCAGGATGCAGAGGTTCACCCTCAACCGCTTCCATTGCCTGTGGTTCAGAGGCATCAGTCTTCTCCAGAAGATGTCCATGAGCACTACTCTCATTTGCATTTGCATCCTGTGGCTCCTGCCCCTTCTTCTGCTTCGGCTTTCTGGGCTTCTTGGGCTTGGATGCTTCAGGCATGGGCTCCGGCAAGGAACCTTTGCCACCCACACTTGCATCATGCAAGGCCTCTGGCTCATCTTCAGGCTTTGGCGCCTCCACCTCCACATTGGCCTGCACTTTCCTGCCCCTACCTCGCCCTCTCCCTTTGCCCTTCTTCTTCTCTACTGGAACCTCCTCATCACCCTTTGCCTCCATCTCACGCTTGAGTCCAAGCTGCTGGCGGCGGGTCACCTTAACTAAAGTCATGGCTGACTTCAAGACTTGGACTTGGACTTGTGACAACATCCACAACACAAAAGGCAAAACCATATTTTAAATCTTGGAGAGTCTCAAGGTCAGTTTTTGGCTCTTCTTCCAACAGTCCGACTTCCTTGTTGAATTTTTCCATGAGGTTTTGCTCCACAGGCTCATGGGGCTCCATGAACTTGTGCTCCTTAGAGGGAGGAAGGGCGGATTCTGTCAGAGTCATGGGCAATGTTTCCATATCATCCCTGCCAAAGGGAAGTGATTCCTCAACTTCAATCACGCCCTGCAGAGAGCCACTGCTCATTGACCGACTGCCAAGGTGTGGACGCCTAGCAATCCTGGGCATGCCACAAGTGATCACAAATTCAAAGTCCTGGGACCCCATATTTGGAGGGTGTGAGGGAAAGAAGTGCAAACATGCTACAGTAATTTGAACGACCCAGTTTCAGAGCTGAGCGCTGCTTGCGAAGCTTGTTCACATGCCCTTGCAGTTCCCTCATCCGCTGGAGTTCATCCTCAGGCTGTGGGTTCAACTCTGCTTCAGGCACGCTTGCCAAGGACTCTTCTGGCACATTGGCATCCAGCTCCTCCAGCGCAGCATCAGAAACTCCACCTGGAGCATCTCGCAGAGCCAGTTGTTCAGTAGAGGCACATTCAAAAAGCGGCTGGGAGTCTGCTGGCGGCAGAGCAACAGTACCCATCTCAGCTGCATTGCCACCCTCCTCCTCCAAGTGCAAGTCATCGTCATCGTCAAGAATGATCAAAGCATCGAGAGAGTCACCACCATGAGCAGATGCAGCAGCACCAGCTGCGCCTTCATCCCCATTTGTATCAGCAGCCACTATGCTTTCCGCAGGCCTTCCATCCTCCAAAGGCTTCAGCGCTGGCTCATCTCCATCATCCTGCATAGGTGATGGACAGGTCACAGGTGGCCACAAGGAAAGGGCTGGTTGTCCACTACTTTAGTTGTATACTCTATTCGACTCTAGTTGAAAAAGGTTCTTGTATGCTGGAGTTAGCCCAGTCCAGCTGAGGGAAGACTGCCGACATCAAAGAGCGGAAGCGAGGCTCCCTTGGAACTTGGCCACGCTGCAGCTTGCGCTTCACCAGGATGCACATCTTCTTTGCCACCCATGCATCCAACTTCACCGAATCCTTGTCCACTGGTTTCTCAACCAGGCTATGAAGTCGGCACAGCCTTAGAGAGATGAGAGACATGAAAGGGTTTGAGAGGTGCTACGCCCACACCAACACTAGTGAAAAAGCCAAAAGTCAGAGATGGACAAATCCAAGTGGCTCAGCTTCCAGATCTGGAATGGTAACCATGTGAACATTCCCATCTTCATCAGCCAGGCGCTGCAAAAGTGGAAGCAGCGTATCGACATTGACTGAAGCTGTCTTGACATTGATGGAAACAGTCTCCCCTGGGGCTGTTGGTTTGAAGATGGAACCCGATGATCGCAGCATTTTGCGAACCTCGCCCACTTGCTCCCACTCTTCACCAAGGCCTTCAATGTTAGCCTTTCTCTCTTCAGCCATTGCACTAGACTAGACCGGCGTGACCAAAATCAGTGAGCAGTAAGCCACAAAAAGCACTGGAAAAGAACATGCACAATTGGTTGTTGCTGAGCCCCGAATGAGCCAATCAAGGTCATTGGTCTTTAGATTCTGTTGAGTATTCTTGGAAGAGAAAGAGAAAGGATACAACAATCCACCAAAACCAACCCTACACTTCTCCCTTTTTTTGGTTTGTGGTTGTTTGAGGAAAAGATTCCTGGAGTGAAGTTTGTGAACATGATTGGATTGGCCACTTGATCCAATCAATCCATCATTGGGTTTCTGTTTCTTTAGGTTAAATGCTTACTTCTTACTCCCCTTTGCTCACTTCATCCAGAGATCCCTGCCAACCGCCGGGCTGAGGCCCCTGGCATGCTGGATCGAAGATCGATGCCAGCCCGGAACAAAAAAAGGGCAGCCCTTGCAGCCCTTCTGCGGGGAGGATGGCAGAAGTGGAGGTTGGTTACCCCTTCATCACTACCAACTTTGAGGGTAACATCTTGTGTTGATCAAGGGTTTGTTGACCTTCATTGAAAGTACGCCCCTATGGCAAAGTACGCCCTTTTCATGAAAAGGCAGGATTTGACATCAAGAACGCAGCTTTATTGAAAGGCATTCAAAAAGGAAGGTCTGTGGAGACCCAGGTATATATAGGAGAAAAGCGGATAGTAAGCTAGGTGAAACCCAGAAGATGAGATAGCCACAGCAATTAGCTACCTTAACCCTTCTTCTGTGCTTTTCACTCTCATGAGGGACCCAGAAACAGCTACTTCATGTCCAATTGCCATGTGTGATTCGTGATGTTGTTCTTCCTCAATTTGGCCCACTCAACCACAGTATGCGCCCAGAAAAAGAACGATAGGCCCATAAGTCAAGTGTCCAACTACCTACTGAGGATTGCATTAAGAGGTGGACACTTAGTTAGGATCCGGAGTTCTTCTGAAGTTCAGATCAAGAAGTTAAGACATGTCAAAACATTGAAAACAAACAGCCAAATCCCAAGCCCAGGTATGACCGAGCAGTCGTACTGATTCGAGATCCACTCGATGTGTTCAGGCGCGGAAGGCACGTGGAGGTCGGAAAGAAAAAGAACCCTCCACTGGTCCCCAGGGCTCCAACCACCTCCTGAGAAGGTTGTTGGGGTGGAATTCTTCAAGACTGGTACATTTGCTGGTTGCAGCGGCGGCTGTTCTGTTGTGCTGGGGACAGGTGCGATCCACATCTACCCTTTCACTGCTGAACATGCAAGATGACAAGATATAGATCCATCCCAAAGCAGCACAAGCTAAGCTACAGGTCAGCTGACGTTTTAGAGACTTCCTACTGGATGGCAAGAGAGGAGCAGAGCGTCACCTCGATCGGACAAACCCAACGAGAATTATAGTTCATGGTTGTGAATGTAGCCTCACAGCTGAGGTTCTTTGTGAATGCAGCTGTTCAGGCAGCATCCGTTCACGTTTCGGAGCTCGGCTCTTCGCCTGAACCCTCGCACCCCCGCAGTCGAACTAGACCTCACGCGACGCACGACGCCCAAAACGGCGCGCAGACAGCACGGCGCAGGTCGAACTACCACTACCGAACCAAGGCGGGAGGACTTCGTCCGGGTCGACCGAGGCCAAAGGAAGAAGGACCCGGACGGACAACGGGCATCGGACGGCCACGAGCCGAATGAACCATGAAGTGCAGATCGAAGGCCAATATATTGTAATATATTAGTTGGGTTGACAAACGTCAAGGTGAACACGGTGAGTTACTCGAGTCCTTGAGAACGAAATTTCTATAGAATGATGTTGTATTTGTAGACCATGTTCAGTTTATATGTTTGTCTACCTATTTCTCGGCCTCTATGTGCCCTCCATCAGCATCATCATCATCATCATCATCATCATCATCATCATCATCATCATCA